GATGACGATGACGATGACGATGACGATGACGACGACGATGACGATGACGATGATGATGATGATAATGATAATGATAATGATGATAATGATCATGATGATGATTATGTTAATTATGACGACGACGACGACGACGACGACGACGATAACGATAACGATAATGATAATGACAATGATAATGATAATGATAATGATAATGATAATGATAATGATAATGATAATGATAATGATAATGATAATGATAATGATAATGATAATAATAGTCATAATTATAATTATAATGATAATGATAAAGATGATAAACGTGCGCACTGCTGGTAGCGATATTGTTAATAACATTTTTCACTGTATTTGTGAAATAGCGCGAAAATTGATTGTTTCGAAGAAACAAGCTAAAAAAAGTAAGTGGTACATTTCCATGATCGATAACATCGAAATTCGTTCGTTTCACTTGTTAACCGGCAAAGATGGGTCATCTCACCTTTTGCATTCATGATATAGGTATTTGTAGCAATGAGAATTACATTATACTCGTGTTTGTTGCGGAACAAGTCATTTCAAATGGATTTTCTTAGTCTATAATTGTCTCCATATGTGTGTCATTAAAAAACATTCGGTTAACAGGTTAGAATTAAGTAACCAAATTATATATAGTCAATCACACAAATTTATTTCTATAATTTATTTATCACAAGTTTCTTCGAAATGGAAATAAAATATTAATATTATACAAGGAACATGTTTTATCATAGACAAGTATAAATTGTTTAATATAAAAGATAGTATATAAAGAAATTAATTGTTACATATTCTTAAAGAATAATGAAAGATATAATATCTTTTTGTATAAAATATTTGTATAACGAATTCTTAATTTAAAGCATTCTCCTTTAGCTTGTTAGTTTCAAAGGAAATAAATAATTATTCTTTATTTTTTAAAGTATAACAGAGTATTGATGTTTAATTTGCAGTGGAATGCTTGGGAATATAATACCGTTTGTTACAAAACAATTCAAATTTGATTAATCGTTCTCGGTAATGTTCATTAGAAAAAATTAATTTCATTTACTCTAATTTGAAGATTATTTCTGGTCAAGTAAAATAATTTATTATTTTATTCGGACAATACCGAAAATATTCTTTTTCGTAACTATATTTTACTTTTATTAACATTAACTGGTTTAGAGTAAGTTTAGTGATTATTAGTATTTTTCTAATTTTCTAACTTTAATTTGAATTTCACGTTCTATATATAGATTTTTGTGGCTGATTATACTGAAATAAACACAATATAAAGGAAGGAAGCTTCAGTGAATATAAATTTTTATTTACGCTAAAAGATCGTGAACTCATTTGAGATTGTTTTACTTGTTAATATTACTACCGAAAATGAAGGGACGAAGCGTTCATAATGAATAAACATCGAATTTATACAGTGAAATTCGAAAACACGAGCCCTAAACATTTTCCATCATATTAGTCGAAGTTATATTACCCGAAACACACTACTGTCTAAATATTCTGTTATTTATATGTGTTAGTTTGGATAGTGGATGTTCTACTGTACTATTAAAATAAAGTAATGAAATAAACTAATCTATGGTGAATGTTTAAATGAACAAAACCCTCCTTAGTAGAAACAATAGAATAAAATGTTTCAACTATTTTAGATACTTGAATGTTTATTAATTTACCGGTTTCGTCATTATTCTCCACTATCGTGGTTATAACTCTAACATTATTATTTACTAAACACATGTATAAAATACAATATAATTATCAATAGTGTTATTTGAGTTTCGACATCTTGCTTTCTCAAAAAACAAAGAAAATATCATTCTTTTTCGTTTTATGATAGTTAGTAAATATATTAATATATACAAAATGTTTTGTTTTGAACTATGATTATTTTAAAAAATGTTATCTTATTTGGTTGATAAATAAATATATTACATTAAGACTAATAAGTTGAATTTTTGTTTTAGTTTAAATTAAGCATTAAAATTATTCTACAAATAAGTAAGAAACACACATAATATTAAAGTTCATTTTCTGTTAAGTTAATAGTTGTGTAAAAATTCTTTGTCTCAGTTCAAACACAACCTAAATATTGGTTTACAAGTAAATACTAAATTGAGTACTGATATTAACATTGTAGTCATTTTATGACCATTTAACATTTTTATTCGTTAACAATATTTCATTAAAGACGTTCTACTACTTACGTTAATAATTTCAATTGTAAGAAGGAATTCCTGTTTCAGCACAAAATCAATATAAATCTTGTTTTCAATATATATTGCAAAAGTGTTAGTTTTAATACTTTACCACCTTGATATCAGTAATAACGTTTTTAATACTATAATATCAATTAAAATGAAAAAGATTTATTGTCGTTTATTTTAACGGTTCTGTACTGAAATTCTATATTTCTTCATCGTTGCTTAATATTATATTTCAATGCGTGCTTAATATTGTTTTGAATGGAATCTGTCAAAAAATATTATTAAGCGGTATCAATTAAAGGAAAATGAAGAAAACCGATATAACATTCATAATAAAAAGTTGTTCATGTTAAAAATTCTTAAAAAATTATTGTTAACCTGTACCTTCCGCTTCGTTTCCGGCGCATCACACGACCTGTGGAAATCTCGTCAATAACATTTCGTCAGAGAAGAAAAGACAGACATACATCGGGGCGTCCGCGTAACAACGATTCCCGTACTAGCAAAGAATAATATTTGCAGAGCTTCGCCATAACAATGCTCGCCAGTACAGTATTTAATAAATCGTTTCGACGTTATGTGTACGTGCCGCCATATTTGTACAGCTTTTATTTTATCCGTTATCGGAATCGACTTGACCATAACAATTACACCCCTCGCGATGTCGAGTTATCGTGAAAACATTTATTTACCTTTTTTAATAAATTGTAAGAACATATAATCGTCTAATTGTCGAGTTGTGATCGTGTTCTCGAGAAAACTACTTATATATGGAAATATAAGACATGCCATCATTTTGTGTGAGAAGATTAGAATGGGTAAGTAACGTTTCAGCTGTATTAGGAGTTTTCAAAACAAAAGACCTGAGATACAAAAATCATTTTCAATTTTCCTTTGCATAGATAAATTTATATTTTTTCATTCATATAGTCTTCAGTATCGGTGAATAACCGTTGAACTAATTTTTCGTAGTTCACCCTATAGTATAATAACAAATTGATTCAGTTTTTCGGCTTTTCATCAAATATATCTTGCATAGAGAAGATGGTACTGCTGTATCAAATATAAGATATTAGAAATATTCAATATCTTTTTCAATTTACAAAATTGTAGAAAATAGAAATTTATTAGCAACTCTTCTTACGTTCCTTATACTTGAATGTGTACACCGCTTAAAAGTGACGCTTAGCGGATAGTTTACCTAATCTAAATCGATTCTAGCTCTAACTCTGACTTAACTGTGACATTTCATACCACGTTACTTTTATATATAGGGTGTTTTTAATTTTTCACTAGAACTGCCAAGTGTTTACTAGAATAAATATGCCATTCTTATAAAAATTGTAACAATATATTTTCTTCGATTTCTTCACATATTTATTAGAGTATTCAAGCGAAACTATTTATTTTTTAAATCATTTCGAATATTCAATATTCTTAAAATATCAATAATTGGGAAATAAGAAAACTGAAAACTGTTATTTTGACGGGCGCAGTTCTAACGTTAAAAATAAATGAAAAATGTCTTGTAAGCATAAGCTTAAAAATGCTCCTTTAAAAAAAACTATAACAGAAACAGATAT